TGTAAACTCTGCAATGAAACATCAGCCATGCTGCTACAGGGTGGAACAACTGCAAAGATAGATCTCTGGGGAAGGAAAAATGGAGGAGAGAGGCATATGAACATTGGTCCTGCTTTAAGGGAGCCTGAACCGAAAATCAGAGAAATAACAAATCTCTTATTCAGACCTCAAACAGATAGGTGGTGGCCAGATTAATTGCTTTCAATGCAATGCAGTATCTCCATACTGATAAAAACAAATGTCCTTCTCTATTGAAAATACAGTATACTTTAATGGCAAGTTATGCCATTAAAATGTACATACAATCTTTGGTTGTACAGATCTGTACTTACAAATAGACAAAATGCAGAAACTATTGAGTGTTAGGGATCTTGAAGGAAATGTATTATTTAGGTTTCCCTAGAATAATCATCATCCTAAGGGTCCACATAAACATAAACGCATTAGGCAAGACTCTATATGAAGCTATAATGCTGCAGGGCCAAAAAATGTAAGTGAAGACAAAATTGCATTCATTAAAGGAGTTAGGGTAACAGTGCCTTTGCTACTGAGTGAAGCTGACTGCTTCCTTCTCTCACACATATCCGAACAAGCATTTTCTAAAACTGGGAGGATCTTTAGGAGTTGGGCCTAAGAAGATATGAATGGCCTCTTTTTAAGCTGGGTTCAGAGACAGTGGAGTGCCCTCCACTCAGTGAATTATCTTCTAAAAAAACAAAACAAAACAAAACCCTGCACGCTGGCATTCTCTGCCTCCACAATGTTTGTGTGGCTTTTCTTATTAGATTTGTTCACTCTCTGCTAACTTTCCTAGAACATCAAAAGTTATCCTCCTATTAAAAATACATCATCTCTCTGTGGAAGCTTGCTGCATCCCTTTTCTGTTGTTATGTACTCTGTCTTGTCATGGTGTAATGCATTTTTGCACTCAATGCCAAAACTCTTAAAATCTTCAGATGAAATATATGTGGAATGTAACAAAGAAGCAACAGGATCAGCATATAATAATTGGATCATGAATCTCATACTGGAAATAAGGTTACATGAAAGCCAAGGCAAACTGGAGAGTGAGCATCATGGATATCATGTGGAGGTGGCAATGGATGAAATGAATTGGAGTACACAATCATTTTTGCCTCTAGCATTCCTCTTTCGGAAAACAGAGGGACAAATTTTATTTACAATATTTATTACAAACTACTTCTGAAAGAAAATCTGTCTGAGATGTTCCAGAATAGGATTAGTCGAGATTTACCCAGTGAATCCTTGAATCCTCCGTGTCTGTTGAAACTGCCTTTGTCTTGATCCTCTCTACTTCTAAAGTCATAGTCTCTATACACAGCTACAGATTGAGCTGCAGTTCTGTCTCCTACATAAATGTCTCTTTAGAAAGTGGGAGGAGCGTTAGACAAGTTAGTAGATTGCACTGCCACAGATGCTTTCGTGAGCCTTCCTGGAAAGTACAACTGTCCTGACGAGTAATATAATTCTATATACTCATCGCCAAATCAAGAACAAATAAAAATCCTAGGTCTCATTCTTAAATGTCTTTCTTCTTAAAAAAGGGGGGAAAAAACTCAAACCAAACCAAACCCCAAAACAACAACAGCAAAAGAATATGCAAAGTGTTTTCTAAAGCTAACATTATAAGGAAAATACTACTTCTCACTTCCTAGGATGTTAAACTAAATACCTGGAAGTACAGGTATTTTGCAGTCACATTTGGTAGTAGCAGAGTTGTAAATACAGTACAGGACTGCTGCATTCAAAAATCTTGTTCTTAGTTGCAAATCACTCATGCGTCTACATTAACGACTTTGAAGATCACTGTTTGGAAGGATTATATTGGGTGGAACTGGAGTAAACATACATCTGGATTCTATCAACCTAGTTTATTTTTGCATTGTTCTCTTGTATTGTTCTTTTAAGTTATCTCAGATTGACACTAAAATACACATAAAAATGTTGAAAAAGTCTTTAGAGTTTTAAAAGTTTTTTAAAAAAAGCTTTACACAGAATTGATTGTGATATAGGGCCAAAGATACACTAAATCTTGAGCTATATCACCTTCCTGGGGTTAAGTAGGTAGAAAATGGTGCTTTACTAACTTCAGCATGGGCCAGCATTGTTTTTTAAAGGCTTATTAGAACAAAGTTTTAACAAAAGGAACAAAGAAGTTTGCTCTCCCAGAGTCTCCACCTTGGAGTAACAAAGGTCATTGCTAAGCACTTTACTAATCCATGTGGTAGCAGTTTTCTACCAAGGCATCATTCCAAAAAGTGGTTTCTGTTCAGCATTTCGCTCCAGGGCACCAGCCACTGCAGTGTAATCCATGAGGAGATTTATGGACCTCAGAGTGGGACTCCTTAAAAAAACATGTATTAATCAGAGAGCCACTGAGTGAGCAAACGGGAAATGCTGAAGCCACAGAATTTCTTCTTTCTCTGGATGCGAAAGCCTTACTCAGTGCATCTTTGAGGATCTACACTTCTGGCCTCTCCCCTGAAGGTCTCTTTTCTTTCAAAACACTGCTAGAAATTTATTCAGGATAGGGCTGGGTCTGAATACATGGTGAATGGGAAGCTGTGCAGACCTGCAGCATGAGACCCAGGTGTGAGTGCTGCACTACGGTGTGCTGATGGGCTCGGCTTCACCCCACGAGAGAGCACTATGTTGCTCTCAGCAAGCTGAGATATGGAATCCCTTCCCTTCTCTGTCTGAAGAGATCTATTTGCACATCTCTAACCCTCAGAAAACTGCTCTGCCTGATAAACTGCTGGGCATGCTGGTGTCATCTGCTTTTCTCTCATCCAGCACATCCGTAAGTATGCCACAAAAGGTGGAATAACATTTACAGGGAAAATGGGAGAGTCTCAGCCATGACAGAAAGACCAGTGCTCTGCTAGAATATGGGATATGGAGAAAACTGAATCTCTTGAAGAAGATAAAGGCATTGAATCTTTGTATCCCATAACTTCAACTCTTGTGTGATGTGATGCTCAGCGTTTCAGTCTAGACTGTAGGATTCTGGCTATGTAGGGGAACCCACACAATGTCTGTGTAGCACATAGGACACTTATGCACCCTGAAGTACATGTTAGAAAAAGAAAAGAGGAAAAAAAGTAGTAGAACAAAATCAAACACAAGCCAGACAGTTTCTTACTTGCACAGGCCACTGCTCCTTTATAGGGAAGATGGGTACTTCTTCCAGTCAAGTTTGAAAAAGCAGCAAGAGCCCCAGCTCCCAGATTTGTGAGCTGAACAGAGGTATGGTTTATTGAATAAACCCCCAGCCATTAGGGCTGCGGAATATGCAGTGCTGTGGAGCTTGAAAGAGCCTGGGTGTGAGAGACATTTTACCTTGATCTGCTCACAGTGTCAGCATTAACGATTCCTGAATGTGCTGAGAAGTAGGACTTTAAATGTTCGGGAACTCCACCAAAGAAATCTCAGGCTTGTTTAGGTATCTCAGGAGTTAAGTAGCAGCAGAACGAGGATAAGCCGTATTTTGAAATAATGTAAACTTATTTAGACACCCTAGTTCTGTTTTTTGATCCAGTCCAAAGCTCAGACTCCATTTCTGTCTTAAAAGAGGCAGGGCACTGTAATTGCATAAATATGAGATATATAGACAGTGTAAGTGAAATAACGTGTGAGAAATAGTCAGCTTTCTATCCAGCTGCAAAATTCAAAATTGATCACGAATACTTCCCTGCTGAAATAAGAAAAGTTTTAGCAGCTGTGCTAAGTTATGCCTGAGATAGCAATTTTCTGCATGTATTCTGGAAGTGATTACTATCTCACTGATACTCCCAGCTGAGAGAAAAAAATGTTAGTGGATGAAATTATGATGATGATGACAGTCGCGTTACCTCCAAACTCAACAGGGCATGGAGTTAGTTACAAAGTAGATAAGAGATGTAAAGAATCCGAACATCTTTAACGTTGTCCTCAGCTATTTACAAGTAATAATCCACTTTTTATACAAGTGAGCAAGTACTTTGAATTTTATTGATGTTCTTCTCACTTGACCATATTAAGTTTATTATGTGTGTGTGTTACTTTAGCGTGATATCCAGATCAGTTACATAGCTGACATTGAAAAGCATATGAGGATTGTTTGAGCCTGTGTTCTGTAACAGGAAGGTGAGACTCAGGAGACATAAAAGAGCTACAAAACCTGTGGAATCTTGCTCTGTAACTTAAAATAGCTTACATGATAAGGAAAAAAGTTTCCTTCTGTAAATCTGTCTTGCAATTCTAATGGAAGATACATTTTGATCTACTGAGGTACATTCGTTCTGTGCCTGCTAGAAGTAGTCCCAGGGAAACCACCTTGGACTTTTGATGCTGTGTAGTTCAGGCAGTACCAGGACACTTTTTTATCAGACTCTGCATTTTTCTAAAGTTAGATAATGGAAAACAAGATACGTAAGAAGTGAAGTTACTGGCCCATCAGATAGTAGGGAGCAATCTTATAAACCATTCCCTTTTAATTCATTTGATATGTTTTACTGCTCTACACAGTAAACACCGAGGAAATCACTATGTCATTTCCCATGCATGCACGGGAGCAGACACACACGGACATGGAGTTTATAGTGACATTTCTTTGAAATCTCATCCCTCAGTAGGATAATAAGCTGAGAACAACAATGTAGTTAAATCCAGGTAGGAATAAAGTCATGGTTATAATCATATGTGTGCATGTGTATATATATGTGGCTGTATAAAACTTTTGAGAAGACTGTAAGACAATATCAAAATGCATTTGAAAATGAGATTGTTTGCAGGAAAGAATTAAATTATCTTGCTCAAAAAGAGCAAGGTGACAGATTCTGATGGTACCTCACATGCTGTGCATGATAAACATTCAGCTTATCTTTCCAAGAACAATAAAATTTCATGTACTGCTGCTCAACATAAGAATTATTTTTACATATTTCCATGCCACTGACTCTCTTGTAAGTTAATCTCATCTCTCATCAATTTTTCACCAGCTTCACTCTGATGTTGATAAAGGAGATGGTTCCATCAAATACATCTTGTCAGGCGAAGGGGCAAGTTCCATTTTCATTATTGATGAGAACACAGGGGATATTCATGCTACAAAGAGGCTGGATCGAGAAGAGCAGGCCTACTACACGCTCCGAGCACAAGCACTAGATAGGCTGACTAATAAACCTGTGGAACCAGAATCTGAGTTCGTCATTAAGATTCAGGACATCAATGACAATGAGCCAAAGTTTCTGGACGGTCCTTACACTGCTGGAGTTCCTGAGATGTCTCCTGTGGGTAAGTGGAAAATACACTGTTGGTGTTGTGGGAAATATGTTCCTATTGCTTCTTTGAAATTTTAATTATTTTTTACTGTATTGCACTAAGCTACTTAATTATCTATGAGGCACCTGCAACAGTTAGATATTTCAAGATTTAGCTGGAAATAACATGCTAGATTAAGTATTTACCCTTTCAAAAATGTTGTGAAACTCAAATAACTATGTAGGGATTCACATAAGCATTTTATAGTGTATTTCTCATTCCAGTGCCCAGAGGCTTTGTTTTATAATTCTCGTCAACAAGAATAAGTTTCACACCCGTGCTATGGCACTCAGAGTTGATTATATATCACTTTGTTCAGATAAAGTCTGTTCTTAACAAACTCATCAAATTCCTGTTAGTACATGGCATAATTTTTTTTTTGCTAAGTGTTGCACGTATCAGTAACAGTTTACTGTATATTGTTTCTAATACTGAAATCCAGCTATCTGGAAAATATATGCAAGCAGGAGGGACTGGGGTACAACTTGAGAGAGTTTCAAAATTCCAGTGGAATCAGAGAATTATGGCTTTTAAAGCCTTCAGACCCTCTGTTGGAAAAGAAATGCTAATTCTTCCAGAATTTAAATTAGGGAAGAATTTCAACATCAAATCCACTGTCTCTTCAGTTTAAAGAGACCAAATGCTCATCTGTTGTCAGGTGCCACTGTTCCTTTGAAAGCTGATTCACACCAGGTAGAAGTTTGGCCCAGCGACATTTTGGTAAATTTTACTTTAACCTGAAATTATAAATGCGCGCATGAAGCTAAAAAAAGAGAAGAACTTAATCTACTTCACTGGAAATAAGTGTATGGGAAGTCTCACTTCAGGTTAAGAGGGTTGTATGGTGAGTGAAATTAGGATTTTCTTTGCTTGACTGATTTTAAACCATATCAAAATTTAATACTTTCACAGTAAGACCGCCCATATAGAATTTGCTATAATTTCCTCAATACCATCTCCTGTGTTTTTGGATGTTAAACAATGCCTCTAAATCAGAGCTAGAGAGAGAAAAAGAGTCTTCCCTGCCTAAATGCCCTGCAGCAATCATTAGTCAACATTGCTTTTATATTTGAAACTCAGCTTAGGAGCCAATAGCAGATAAGTAAAACATTGCTAATGAGTTTTCTATTTATTTGTTTTACTAAGCAGTGACCATAGACACTACCTCTCATTTGATACTTGGCACTTGTTCATTGTCACTCGAACACTGTGTGGATGGCTGAAGAGGCAATAGTAGCCTTGGAAAGAAAAATGGACACTACAGTCTTTGAGGAGCATCAGGGAGGAGATGAAGTTGTGATATATTGCTGAGAACTGTTTACTGCTGCACTTTGGAAAAAAAGATAATCAGATAAACTAAGACTGTAAAATATTCATCACTTTAAAAATATGTTCTGTAAAAAAATTTTTAAAAAATATTGGTATTTCATTTTAGAATTAGATTATTTAAGTGAGCTGTAGCGTGCAGCAGTGATTAGATTTTTGCACCTTTGTCCTGTGCCCCAAAGAAGTTTCCACATTTCCTTTTGCATGAGTTCCCTCTGTCTTGTCCTGTACTGGCATATTGACATATGGACAACTACTACAGATATATGAGGTTTATCTACACACACAAATCCATGTCTCTACCCCTCACCCATGCTCCATTTGTTCCAAAAATATATCGAGAATCAGTCTGTGGGGAGTGCACAGTGTGCAAGGGAGAACATAAGGACTATTTTTCAAAATGAGCTGCTTTTGCATATGTTGTTGAATCTTTACCACATAAATGACTGAAAGAAATTCTCTCCCATATGGACTACAGCACCAAATATATATTCAATTTATGTGGAATACTGTGCAAAATTATTAACTGAAACCTGTGCGCTCTCTGGGATTTGTGTTGACTAAGGGTGGTTTCATCTTCATGAGCTTTAAACATCTTCATGGTTTGTATCACACAAGTATCAAATACTGCATTGTTACTGAATAAGGATTACCATGAAATGCCTGTGTGGCACTTGTCTTACATAGTCACATCGATTCATAGTTTATTCATATAACACAATTTTTAATTCATCACCTAGAGCATTCATGAAATGTTAAGGAGAAACAAAGTATCTGTCTCTTATTTTGTTTAAAATTATATCCATGACTAGGATTTTTAATTAGGTATTAAACAAAATGAAAGGGATTGCAGGATTATAAACTCAAATTAACTATAAAGCTAGGAGAACTATAACCTTTAACCCAAAGGGTGGTTATGCAAATATAATGATTCTGTATTTTATTCGACAAATATTTTAGGACATTATCTAAGGCTAATTGAAGTCAGTCCTTTCTGTTAATTGAAATGACTTCGGGTCAGATTCAAATTATATTTGGGTCAGGCCCAATTATATTGATTATCTTGGACAGGGTAAATATCTTGATGGCTTGTAAATCTATTCATAGCAAAAATCTCAAAGCTATGGCTCATCTGAAAATCATAGGGCTTTTTTTTTTTAAAGTATGTCTCACTTAAAAAATCTATCAGTGTTATATTTCAAACAAAAAGATTGCAAATTATAGTTAAAAGAGTATTAAAAGAATGTTCTTGTGATGTTGACCAAAAAAAAAAAGCTGTTGTGAGATATTGATCTGTTTGGCTTATAGCCAAGGGAATTGGGGATAAAAATTCCAATACCCAACATAGTTTTGATTTTGTTTAATCTTCTCTACTCTCCACACATATCAACAGCTTTGCTTGTTACCCAGCACAACAAATATCTTTCTTGCCATGTTTATAAATTCTCATTGAGATGGATAGAATCATTTGATTTTTCTACCAAAGGAAAAAAAGAAAATAAAAAAAAAGAGCTCTATATCACACTTAAACATTTGGTACAAGTGGGTAGTGGGTTTTGAGAGCCTGAACGAAGGGAAAGTGTCTCTTTCCAGTCAGAAGCCCCCTCTGCTTCACTTTATCTGACTTGGCTGATGGGCTGGGACCAGTCTTGGGCTTTGTCCCCAAGTGAAGGCAACCTAAGGAGGCTGTGGGAGGAGAGGGGGGAAGTGAAGAGGGTAGAACCTGCCTCCAGGTGCTGTTTCTCCCCCTTCACACTCCTGGAGGGGAAAGGCTGTGGAGGCATTGCTGCAACAGCTCTGTGTGAGGGCCAGTGGCAGAAGCACAGACATACTGGCTGGTACAGAGCAGAACCAGGCCAGGCTGTTTCATGTAAGGATTAGGCAGGTATTATGGGTAACTTGACAGTAAAGGTGTTTAATATTTCTATTAATAGAAGCAGCTGATACTATGTAGAAATGTGATGCCATCATGGAATTGTTTTGTATATTACAGATATTACACATCATTAATTGCTATCAGTCAATGCCTTTAATAACTGACTGCCTTTAAAGGTCTATTTTTAATTTGCTAATATGGCTACAATTCAATTGAGAAGCGTTCGTGCAGTTTCAAAAATAAGCATTTGTGATGCTTATCTAGTTTTAGAAATCAGTTTTATCTTAAATTATTTCACCAATGTTAAAAAGGAAGTCACACAAACATTTCTCAAACTCATGTAAAAACTTTTGGTAAAATACCATACAAGTTACTAGCAAGCTTTTAAAAACCTCCGTGCAGCGGTTTCTAAAAAATAAACTCAGAGATTTAAAAAGGATTGCTTTGAAGGATCTCCAACTCAAAATAAACATCAACAACCTTTATCTGTCTGTATCACAGAAAACATTGATCTCTGTAACATGTCGGAAACGTTGATGGATCTTTACTTGTGTAAATTAAAGTACAAAAAATGTTCTAAATTTAAGGTCCTCTCTGCAAAACCCCCTTGCTTGCTTTTACCCTAATATCAGAACTTAAATAGGTCAACTTCTCAGATTACTGTGATTCTGTAATATCTACCAATATCTATTAAAGGTTAAGTTGAAAATGATAGCTTAAACATTCTGGAAAAAAAGAGAAATCTGTGTCAGCCACACAAAATTCAGTGTGTTATTAGCTAGTATCAATAAAGAAATGTGTGGAACATTCTTTGATTAGCAGTACAGATTTTCCCTCAGTATTTGCTCTATTTGCTGAAGAAGTTTATGAAGTTGCTATATGTAGAATACTTTTTAATGAAGCTTTGTTGCAAAGACATAATTGTAGAGAAAAATAATTGTAGAAGATTCTATATCTGACAAGGAAAGACACTTTTTCAGTAAATAGCCCCTATTTATTTTTTCAACCCATATCAGATACACAAACTGTAAGAAGTATTTAAAGTTGTGAAGCTACAGGACTCTGAGCAATGCTGCCATAAGCAAGATTTATTGGGACATTTATTTTGTTGCATGGAGGGAAGGTGTGGTGCCGTTTGTGGACTGTCCCATGTTACCTGTAAGTCCTGGTCTTGGATGCATGTATGACAGCTGACTGCCTGGGTTATGAGGTAGGGCAAAGTGTTCAGCAATAAAAGGAAGACTTGATTTCAGTGCAGGAACACAAACTCTCCTTTTGTAAGATGATGTAGTTGGAACTATGATGCAACTACCCGTTTTTCATCAACCTATAGATTTATTGACTATCCATGAGTAGCCACACATCTTCATCAGTTACGTTTTTTTTCAAAGGAAAATAAGCATATGAATTTGACATCAACCCATTGCAAGAAAAATTAGGACAGCTCTGTGTTGCAATGGTTGTCCTCTGAAGGATTTCGAGAAAAATCTGCTCCCTCTGGGAAATGCTCTGCAAATCTTCACGTACTGATCTTTCCGTGCATTATGTTGCCTTGGAACCGGTTTCCTACATGTAGGACTTTTCACATAGTTAGCATACCTTATGTTAGCTTGCATATGCTTTTTAAAAAATACATGGTGCAGAAATATCCCTCTCGGCCTGGGACTTCTGGAAGCTCAAAGTTTTTGTGTGCAACTGGTAAGGAAATAATGCCAAAAGCAGTTGTTCTAAGAGATCTGTCCCCTCTCAGGTTTGAGAGAAGTTGAATAGCACAAAAAGACTAGAAAAGTGTAATTGTTTTTTAGTTAGTGATTACACTCAAATAGGATGAGTACAGAAAAATTTGATGTCAGAATTTCTACCTAAAAAAACACTTTTCTAAAGGATCTATGTGTTTTAGGAGAAAGCCAACTAGATTCAGATACTGACTTTATTCATCTCACGAAATGCAGAGGGTTTGTTTTCTACATGAATAGATTTTTTACAGCAAACAAGCACTTCTAATCTTGCAGGATTTCCAAAATTTCTCTGTTGAGGTTACAGAGCCTGTAATTTCTTTGATCTTGTATTGGTCTGGAGTCCTTGAAAGTGGCAAGAGCAAGGAGCAAAGACGTAACTGTGTGAGGTTTATAAGCACTTTTGCCAATATTTGCAGACATTGTAAGCTTCATTGACAGGGCTTATGGACTTTGTAGAAGTGCTAAGCCTGGCTTTCACAAAGAACACAGGATGTTGAATAGTCATTATGATACCCTTGTACTCTGGCAAGTTTAAAATAGGTCCCTGTATGAAATTACACTATAGAGTAATCTGTAAAATCAGTTTGACATCTGAATCAAAGCTCCTAGCTACTGGTGAACAGAAAATTGATGTATTTTAAGTCCCATAACTGATGAATGACTTGATAGATTAACTACCAATTTCCTTTTTAAACCTTCCATCTACTTAATAGTTGCATGTGAATTTTCAGGTTGAGAATAACCTTTTCTCTGTCCAAAAATATTAGACAGTCCACAAAAGAGAAAAATTGCATTTAGAATAGAATTGCAATCATAATACTTTGTCACGGATACTTCAGGAAGGGAGATCAGGAATGTGGATTAGCTAGGCCATAACTTAAGTGAATAAAGCTATCTTATGAATGATCATTTCTGGTCAGAATTCATTCAAGTAGATCCCATCCTTTGTAATCTGTGCCATTTTATGGAGGGCTGCACTTAATCCTCTCTCTCTCCAAACCTTCAGCCTGGTGCCAGGACCCATTTATGATCATCTGCTTAAAGGAGAATTGAAACGATGAGGGAAATGGATGAGGGATGTACTGTATCAGACATGAAGAATTTCAGAACTTTCTCCCACCCATTTCCTGAAAAAGTCGAAATAAAACTGACAAGAATACAACTATGTTAAGTTCACCCTGGATACTTGCTATTGCAGTTTGCTTTTAAAGAATGGTTTCTAAACTTGCTGCTCTCATTTTCGCATGTCAAAAATGTGTTCATTCGGAAAATGGACCCTCTCCTTAACAAATGCTTTTCTCTAATCTTGTGTCGAAATCCAGTTTATGAAGGAATCTGGTCCTCTGTTGAAGACCTTTACTGGGCATCTGCCAAATTGCTACAATATGAATTTGCAACCCAACCTCTAAATGGGTCCCTGGGCTGCTGAAGTGAAGGTCTCAATGTTCCAGACAATTTGCCAGTGAGAAAAAATAATACTTTCTGGCTATCAGGGGGTGGTGACCATGGCCAAGGCCCTGGCTCCCAAGTGTTCATTTATTCAGCTCTCAGTATACATCATGGAAGTTGTTGTATGGAAAAAAAACAAATGGGAACTGGCATGGAGAACATAATGAATAGGAGCTGGATGCAGAACGAGATCCTCACAAAATATACACTTCTTGCTAGCCAGTTAGACATTTCACTTTCTTGTTCCTGTCAACATAGAGACATTTCTTGCTCAAGAAATATTTATACAGCAGATTATTACCACAACTGATACTAAAGTACTGCAGATTATTGAAGGAAATGAGTACATTTTAAAGGAATTTAGAGACAGCTCTCACCGGTTTTTCTCTGAGCTGAAACAGAAACTCTTCAGCCATCTCTTTATAAAAGGGTAAATAATTTTATAGGCTAAAATTATTTTTTTTATATCTATGTTTATATAATTACCAAAACATATAATACTGATGTATGTATGTATATTCGAATCTCTGACTAGTTTTTATAGTTTTATCATGCAGACAGACACTTCTCTTCAAAGGGAAAGTATTACTGTATTTCACAATCATACTTCTGGCATCACCATTATTTAAGAAATACTGTTCACATACCCTCCACCAACCAAAGGCAGAGAAAGAGGGGGGAAGCTACTGAGTGAGATGGTTTTTATTACTGTGAGTCAAAGGCTGAGACTATTTGGGAAGACAGAACTCTATGACAGCTGATACTACTGGTTTACAAGGAGGACCTTGTACTCTAAGCTGAATCAGCATGGAAATAATGAACAGTTGTGAAAAAGCTACGTCACACTGTTCCACCTATATATTGGCACAGTATGTTGAACAAGTGTAATTCAGACAGTTGGATCTTTTATGTACAATAGTCCCTTAAACATTTTGCAGGTACCTCTGTGGTTCAAGTGACAGCCACTGATGCAGATGATCCTACTTACGGCAACAGTGCTCGAGTGGTTTACAGCATCTTGCAAGGGCAACCTTACTTTTCTGTGGAGCCAAAAACGGGTAACTTTCCATAAACTTTCTGCAGCAATTCTGAGTAAAAAAGAAAATGTGTATTAAAACTTGCTAGGAACTTATTAATATGGTCTCTTGGTTAATTGAATACATTTGGATTTTATTGACCTTTTAATCTCTTATTCTTCAAAACAGATTATGAAAACTGCATATCTGAGCTATGTGATAAGCAGACATTGCTGGAATGGGACTTTTTATCTTCTCAATCTGCCAGCTCCCTGGTGTGCTGCCTGTTACTGTCTTTCTGATCAATGAAAATTTCAAGATGCTATGAACAAGTTTTTTTACAGATGTTTGTTTTGGAAAAATCTAAATGTCACATAGCCAGATTTCCTTAAGTATAGATTTACGGCATGATCACCTCTCCATTCTACTTTTTAAACTGTAGTTTTGTTGTGGGAAGTATATCTTTTCATTATTAGTTTGAAGAAGAAAGCACTGTGCTTCCTATCCTTATCTGATACAACATTTTGCTCCCACTTTCAAACGAAATTATTGGTGGAACTTTTTTTTACTGTTTTCATGAAATTTTGTGAATATTTTAAGCCACAACAAGATACCATCTTTAATCCTCTGTCAGTTAAATAAACATTTCCCATTCTGCTGTATCATTTCATAGAACAGGAAAATAAGTTCTCGCTTTGCACAGTTCAGTTTGGTGCCTGAGCCTTCACTTACACCAACATAGAGAAGAGTCATAATCTTTATTTCAGAGAAGGACAAGCTGAGACAAAAGAGAAACAAACTGTTTACAGTATTTATCACAAGCAGTTTTTGATGTGAATCAGACCTGGATCCCAATGCTGTGACCAAAAGGTCACACTATTTAACAACATCTAAATCTGCAGAAATAAGTACTATAATTATCTTCATATTGTAACAGGTGCATCCTCAGCTGGATATATAGCACGTTCTTTTTCCCCGCAATAAGTATGATGTATAGCTGTTTTCTCTCTGTCTCTCTGTGTCTCTCTCTCCATGTATATGTATGTATAGTGTATATTGTCATAATGACTGCAGACAGCCCTCGAACAATAATATGGTAGTTTCTGCTAAATCAAAATCTTTAAGGATTCAGAATGAAATGTTTGCATACATTTTCACTTTAATGTGATACTCAAATTTCCTGTGTGCATGATAATTAGCTTCCAAATGATTGGTTAATGTTGCTTGGCAATTTAACTATGACAGAAAAACAAGCAGGCCAGAAAAAGCAATGTAGAAATAATAACATTGTGAAATTGTATATTAATGGTATTTTAACACATCTCGTAAAATGGGTGAAATAGTGCCAGACGGTCTGTTTGTGAAATAAATGTTTCAGCGCAGGGATTATTAACGGCAAGTCCTGCATTCATAAGTGAAGAAAGAAATAAAACTCTAAGTAAACATTCAACAAATATCAGATTAAGAGATATGTGTCCCAATGTGCCTCTCCTTTATTTAGTTTGTTTATGTTTCCTTTGCTGCTGACAGTAAGTGTTGGTGGAGTAAATGGCTGCCTCTCTGGAAATCAGAGTTGGTGGCTGTACTGTGTACTGAGCATGAAATATTCATGAAGTCACACGTTTTGAGAAGGCATATTTATTTTCTGATCTATCTCAGCAGAACTAAAAGGATGAAACATGGAGATTTTTTTCTGGTTTTCATTTCAAACCAATTAATTATGAATTGTTGATAATTTCATACATATGTGGAGTGTGGCATGATATCAACATTAGTAATAGTTTATGTGGTAAATGGCTATGCAAGACATTGTGAAATGACTCTTGACCTTGGATCTTAAAAATGAATGCAGAGTATTCTGTTCTTCCTAGCTCTAAAAGAGTGGGAAATCAAACATGGAAGATGATGTCTTCCAGGGAAGTGAGCACTACCCAAGACATTATGAAGTCTATGGTTCAGGAAGAAGATATTCAGAAAAAACAGTCATGGATGGCATTACCCAAAGAATCTAGGACTAAATAAAAATTGGTGGATTTTGGTGATTACTTAAAATAAGCTTGTAGTATGTCAGTTCAGCTCCTAGTCAAAAACTGTGATATTAGTGTTGAAATTAATTCTTTCCACTCTTGTTGCAATCATTGATCTACCCTTTAAAGGCAAACTCAGCTTTCACGGTAATATATTTGCTTGTGCAACCATTGACATATCTTATCTTACTGCAGGTGTTATCAAGACTGCCCTTCCGAATATGGATAGAGAAGCCAAGGACCAATACCTGCTAGTTATTCAAGCAAAGGACATGGTTGGGCAGAATGGTGGATTATCAGGGACTACATCTGTAACTGTCACCCTGACTGATGTTAATGACAACCCACCTCGCTTTCCACGACGTAAGTTACTTTGTAAAAATATGACTCGTAATATTTTTTCTAAACATTGTTATTTTCTTTGCATGTCATGTTATTTCTAAACAAAGAGTGAAAGTCCTCAGCTTCCATGTTAAAGACTGTGAGAATCCCTGACAGCAAGGTATATTTTTATTATTACTGCATGGTAAGAATCTTTTTTCTTTACCTAATATGCTTCAGACCAGGTGAAATGATGTACAGCAGGTGCCTTTATTAATGTATTTTACTTCCTTTTTATGGACAAAAAGATGAAAAAAAGATGCACCTTAATAGATAGTTAGCTCTTGCCAGCTGGACTTCAGGATGCATAGTTCTTTAATTGACTTAATCCTTCATATTCTTTTGGCATTTTAGCAAGATTTCTCTTGTGCGTACAGTGTCTCTTAAGGAGTTAAATCATAGAAGAGCTGGAAAGTCATCTTCCGTCCATTTACTTCTTTGACCAAGGTGGCTCTCATCCTAACCAAAGAAAGGAGCACACAGGTGTATGCTCAAACCTGAAGAGCTCAGTTTATTAATAGCAGTCTGTCTGGGGTGCTTTTTTTCTTAAAAAAAAAAAAAAAGTCCTTGTTAAGTAGTATTAAAATAATGTGAAGAATATATTCACATCCACTCCAGCCTCACCTCCAATGATATAAAAAGTAGATCTATACATAATAGATTTCCTGTTATTTCAAGCCACCAACTGCTTGAAATAATAATAGAATAACTGAAGTTATTTTTGAAGGTGAGGGTGTTATTGGCTACAGACTTCACTCAGATAGCCTTTTGACATCATATATATCATTTTCTACTTGAACGAAAAAGCTGGAATTTTCAAGAATGCAGATGGTGCATTTACTGTTAGAGAAATTAATATATATCAGTTTCTAGGCATAGTCAGATTGCAAACTGCCTGATGACAATACCCAGCTATAAAAGAATAAGAATTTTTTGTTATTTGACTTACTTGCTTTGTTTCTTCTTTTGTTGAAAGCAGAGTAAAATATTTTCTGCATTGCAACTCTAGCAGGCTTTAACCTCACGATTTGTACTTAAGTTTTGAATTACTTGATGATGATGAATTTTTGCATCTGCGACTTGTACTTCTCTCATCATAGGAAGAAATTAGGCCTATAGTGCTGAGTCCATCACATGGAAAACTTATCAAAAAAAGGGAAATTCTATTTTAAACTGAATACATCCTGTAGCCTGAATGAATATTCAAGTGCATGATTTAAAGAAAGGTAGATTTTAAGAAGGGTAGAGTTTTTTAGCCTACAATCCCAGAAGACTCTGAATTAATTAAATTTTTAAATTTCACAGGATCGTATCAGTATAACGTCCCAGAGTCTTTGCCAGTGGCTTCTGTGGTGGCAAGAATAAAAGCTGCAGATGCAGATGTGGGACCTAATGCTGAAATGGAGTATAAGATTGTGGACGGTGATGGTTTGGGAGTATTCAAAATTTCTGTTGACAAAGACACCCAGGAGGGAATCATAACAATTCAGAAGGTAAGTCTGACTTTTTCTCACTGATTCTGTTTGGATCTGTGCAAGATGAGGGTAGGTAACAAGAACATGAGCTTCCGTTCTTATTATAAGAACAAGAGCCTTATCTGCTATAAAAGTTTCCACTGACATACTTCCTCTTGACTTCAGTGTGTGCATGTGTGTGTGATTTTGAGCTTTTGAATGGCTTACACTGAAAATTCTTGTGGGATTTTTTTGGCAATAGCTGTATTGTTTTGACGAGTTGTTTTTTTAAAGCTCCTGCACATACTAGTTTGGATGGGACTCACTTGTCTCTGTATTAAAGAGAAAATGTGAGAATATATCTTACAGTAAAAATGCGAGCTCCAAATACAAAATGGAACCCAAATGTAATTTAAAAAAGTATATATAATTGTCTTTTGCTGATGTTGCTCTATTCAGAAGGCACAAATTACTAACGTTGAAATTATGTATCAGTAAGAATAGTTGCTTTACAAGATAATGTATAATAAAAAAATTCAAAAAAATTGAAATATTTAAAGAAGTATTTTTTCTTGGCTTTTTATATGTACAGTTGGAAAACTATAATTTTAAAATGAAAAATCATGTTTACATTAAAAATATTAAAAGTCAGCATTCTTACCTTACTGCAACACATTTTAAAGTACTCTTTTACAAAATAAAAGTGTGCTGAAATATTTTGCAACAAAATTTAAATTTCAAGCAGAACAGGAAAAAACTCGTACAGCTTAGACAGAAGAATCTCTTCTCATATAATTTCATACTCTTAATGTATGAATGCTTGGCAAGGACAATACTGAACCTATGGCCCTAACTCTGCTAAGCCCTTTAATAGGCCCTAAAATGTGGGACTGACTTGGCATTTTAGAATATGTGTGTGTTCCTGATCAAGGACCTATATTTGTAGTTAATTAATATGATTCCATAGCAGATTTTTTCTTCCCTATACACTCTTTACTCTCTGCAAGCTTCACCTATGTGGGTTTTTGGTTTGTTGAGGTTTTTTTTCCTCCTCTGGTGCATCAATTCCTTTCTAAGGCAATATAAAACTTCAGTAACATTTTTCCTTTGAAAAAAGTTAATACTGCATGTTGTTGCAAAGCAAAGGGCTAATTTTCTGACGCCCTGAACACCTGCTGAGAGCTGGTAAGCATCCATAGATGTCACAGCAAATGGAGAATGTTCAGCATCCTTGAAAGATCAGGCCGTAATATGCGTAATGCGTAATGTGAATCATCTTTTTCAAGGCAAAAACATCCATTTTAGGATTCTTGCAAACTCTGCTAATTTCTGCTTAGCACGTTTGAAATATAAGTGATGAAAATTTAGTTGTCTCTTTTTTCAACAGCTAAATTCAACGTTGCTCCTTCAATTTGCTCATTTAAGGGTTTTGAGCAGAGATGTGGAAGAAATATGCCTATCCTAGAGGGAGAGCGTTTATCAGTGCCACAGTGAGCAACATATTCAGCAGTTTAATTTGAGAACTGATGAGTTGATTTTAATTTCTAGTATGCTCTTGTAGTCATGGTGTTTGTTCCTGGAATATCCTGATTCCAATGCTGTATAGTGGACCAAATAATTGTCATTTATTATTTCTATAATCACTTTAGCTAGGGAGCTGAACTGGACTTTTCAGTACTGAACATTTGTCCTGAGAAGTGCTCTGTGAAATAGCTATTGTACTACATTAAAAAGATTACAAAATTTTGACCTGACAAAATGCTCCAATCTGCTAATCACTTTTACACCTAGATGCTGTCATATTTTGACATGAGAATTCAGACTTTTTTCTCTTCAGCATTAGAATTTTCTCTCATTTTCCTACTATTACTGCCATACCCAAAGGTGAATCCCCACGCTGAGAGGCACCTCCCAAACCTCTGGATGCCCTTAGCTCTTTGTTATGCACTCCAGGGAACTTGGTGCCTTGCCCAAGGCTGAAAGATCCCCCCTGCCAACCCTGCAGAGAACATTGGCTAGGAGGGAAGAAAATAAGCTCAAGCACAGTGGCTAACAGGCAACTGGACCTTGTTCTTTGGAGAACAAGTACATGGAAGACCATTAATGACAGTGCATGCAAGTTAAATGGGCTTCAACCACCGAGCCTTACCTGCCAGATCACTATGGAGTTGTGCAGAGCTTATCCCTGAATGATAACGTGTGCTTGTTAGTAAGGAATCGGAAGAAATTAAGTCTGTAGCTTGGAATCTGTCTAAACATTTTACAATCCGGCACATGAAGCTCTGTACACCTCTGAGGGCAATTAGCTTTCTCCTTTTCATGCCCCTGGAATCAGCCAAGGCATTGAGAAACAGCTCAGCCTCCAAGCACATGCCCATCATTTTAAACTTGTGTGTATTTATATGCTCAGATGACATGACTGTGTGCACATCGAGCAGTAAAATGCCAAGGCAAAGACTTCTGAAAAGGCACGCTCTGGTTCTAAATGCAAATGCATGCTTCAGCTTTGCATACTTTTGCTGCAATCGTACATACAGATCAGCAGGTTAGGCATGAAAATCACCGCCAGTATCTCTAAGCAGCTGAAGGCACTGCTCCACTCATTTCTGTGCTGGGTGTTATGGAGAAAGTTTGGCACCTGGTTATCGGAGTTCCACACACAAACTGAGGATTTAACATTCTGTTTTTAGAAGCATAACTGTGTTGAGACCACTTGAAAAGTTGACTTCATCACTAAAAAGCAAGGTTTTTTTTAACACATAGCGTCAAGTAAAAAACAAAAGTTTTTGTGTAAAAAAAAAATAATTGAGAAAAGTGAGATTTAAATGAGCAAAGCAGGATTTTTGTATGCTTCAAGTGGATGGAATATGAAAGAAAATGCCCAAGGATCAGTGAAAATGGCAAATAAATTATTTATATATATAAATTCAGAAAAATGAACTTTTTTTTTAAAGAGAGATACTAAGAATTGTGATATTAGAGACAAATGTTACATGGCTAGGTATTTCCCAGGATTACTTCGGTGTACAAGACTTGACTAATACATATATTGATTTGAGAGGTGGCAAAAGTGGGGAATGTTTTGTGTGTGTTTAATTTTTGGTTTGGTTTGTTTTTTTCCGTGCACATTTAAAGACATTTCTTCTCTGCACCCTGTGACGCAGAGACTTCAAAACATCAAAACTCAGCAGAAAAAAATAATCGTGGTTTTATTCTAACAGTGATATTCATGGAAATATGGAGAGTGCTCTTCCCTCATTTATATCACTTCTACATTGCTAAATCCAGATATCTCTTTGGCTACCATGATTTACTCAGGGTGGATTTTTCTCTAAACTGTTTCAGAACAGTGCTATTTTTCAAATAGTAGCTGTAGTTCTGCTCATAGTTTTTATAGCCATAGCAGGACTGGGGATTACATGTTCCTGAACATGCTGGGGCTGTTGCTGCCTAGTGCCTCATGTCAGTATATACCAGCTCCTAGATTAAACCTCAGCTTAACGTATTGTTTTGACAGTAGGCTGGTACTCTTATAAGAACTCCCTTGACCACACGGAATCAGACAAGGGAGGAATACGTTCTCTGTGTTTTCATTCACTTGGTCTTTATCCCTCCAAAGGGTAAAGGGTAGGACTGTACTACCTTACGCAGCACAAGAAAGGAGCATGCATGCTGTACCACTGCACAATATTTGCTGCTATAGGGCTTTTCAAGCACTTGTGACACCTTATTTTCTTTTCTCCTGGTTAGGGTGTTCGAATCAGAATTAAATGAATGAGATGTGAACTTCATGTATTCCAGCAAGTTGCTTAAGTTCATTCTAGGAAAAAAAAACCCAAAAAACAAACCTTCAAACTTTTTCAAAATGTTCTTTGGGACAAGAACTAAATTTTGTTCATGAATTTATGGCTTAAAAATAACAAGTGGCTAAGTCTGGGTAGAATTGATTTTTTTGTGAGAACAGTGAAGACTTTCATCTTATGACAAGAGCTGGTAAAAACAGTATTGAACCATTTACTTGGTTAGTGACACTAAAAAATAAAGTCTACCTTCTTCTGCAATACATTAACTGCATTAATTGTCAAAATTCATATATAAAAATTTTATCCAGTATATATCTAGGACAGTATACAAAAGCACATATGTTGTTTTTAGGATTGATTCATGCTCTGTTTCCAACCTGCAATAGTATATGAAAAATGCTAGAAGGCAAACTGTATTTTACAGAAGCTGGTATAAATGACAAGTGAATGGGACCCATAAGCACAGTTCAGAGCGGTATTCTCAGCTTACAGGAAGGGGGGAAAGTGGTGGGAAAACTAGTGGAGGTCTTTTTCTGTAACCTGCTATGTTCATACAATTTGTTGCCAAGTAGTTTCAAGTCACTGTGGAAACCTTCCGATTTTTTCTTCGCCTACTTTCTCTTTTACTACTACTACTACTACTACTACTATCTTTTATTAAATAATAATAATAAATAAATGAAAAGTTCTCACTTGTCAAATGAACCAGAAGAAACCTCTTCCTTTTTTTCATCGTGTACAGAGCAGTCTAAACATACCACCTACTCAAACTCCATGCTAGACCCCTGATGTTGCAAATAATGGGAGAGTTTATTGTCCCATAGGCACACCCTCTGTGGTGAATTCCGAACTAATTTAGATGTGTAAGTTACTTTTAAGCAGGATTTAGGAAAACGTGCATCTTCGGTGATCTTTTCAGAAAAAAAATGTAACGTACAGGTTTTGAAAAGGAATTGGGCATTTAATTTTCTTAGAAGTATCTGAAAATTTTATCCTGGTTCACACTGTGACTCAGTTCTCCATCTGTACAGTAGGATCAATTCCTTCCTGCGGTTTCATTTGTAATTTACATTCTGCTATCAATGCTCTGTTAGTAAGGACTCAGATAATTTGCATAGCTACATTTCACAGTGGTGAGGGTGTTTGGAAGAAAAGTGTAATTTTTCTGAATATATTTGAGTTTTAAAAAATGTGTTGAATTTGTCTCTGCAGTAGCAACCTTAGAATTCAAGAAACGTTTATGGAAGCGAATGATAGTTCAGTCATTTAATACAACAAATTCTGAAGTGTCCACTCAAACCTATTTGTGTACAATTTCAGAGTGAATCCTTGTTGACTGTTCACAGAATCCTGATTGTAATACGCATGAATGGAATCTCGGCTTCACTTTCTAAGCAAAATGCATACACAAGACCATATTGTTTGTAGTTTCCAAAGCACTGTTCTTAAAAATAGTATACTGAAAAAGGCATGGTGTAAGTACAGATCTCACTTTATTCACAAAGTTGCAGGCTGTAGTTAGATTTCAGTAATAATAATAGCTTAGTAGCAAAACATCTTAAGATTAAAACCCGATAGATGATCTTTATCCACCTTCACCTTTATCAGATACTTAGTGCTTAAAGTAGTAATGGTAATTTAATAATAAAACAGGCTGCAAGGTATATTTTTATTATATGTATCATATATGACTTTTTGGAAGGTTATAAGATCTGATCCAAGACATTTTGAAGGCTATGGAGAGATTTTAGTGGAATTAAGTGCAGAAAAAAAAAAAAGAAAACTCTTTTGAGAGAGGGTTGTCACATCTTACTGTAGCGAGTGACATGCATTAAGATTTACCACGGTGCAGTTCTTGCTCACTTTGCCTTTATTTCTCCCCCCAGTACACAGCCCTACCACCAATATCACCAAGCAATCTGAACGTTAGAGGGAAAAATGTGAAAATAGTGCTGCAAAGTACTTTCTCATAGAAATTGACTGCTAAGAGATTGTCCTAAAACCTGAGTTCATTCTAAGAGTAATACTGGCAATTATAAAAATGGGGGGTTTATGCATAAGCTTTTGAGTGAAAAGCTATCTTTCTGTTACTGTTAACATTTCACTTTTTTTTTTTTCAGCTAGAAAATTTTCTTTCAGTTCAGTATCAGAGTTTACAATGTAAGAACTTGAGTGTTCCATGGTTCTTTTGAAAGATAATGTGCATTTGTTTGATGTACTGCAGTTTTCAATATAAAACCTCAACTGGGCTTAAAAATGGGATTTTTACCTCTGAAAAGTACATTATTACAAAGTTACCATAGAATAAAAAGTGAACATTACAGAAATGGGCTTCCTATGAATGACAACTTCATATACAGCCTCTGTAATATAGATGGCTTGTTTTGTAATTTTCTTCAGGCAGGATAAAATTCCTATCCCTTAAAAGAAAAAAAAAAAAAAAAAAAGAAAGAAAGAGAGAAAGAAAGACCCTGCAAACACTGAAGAGAGAGAAAGATGAATGGATCCTGCACAGGATCTAATCAGATAACACTAATGCACAGGTATTAATGAAGCTGTCAGGCTCTATTCACTGGACTGAAGGACTGAAGTATACATTGTCCATTTAACCTTCAACACTGATGTAGTGAGTGTTGTAGTCTGTCAAGTTGGTATTCCATTATTTGAATCTTGTGCTTTTGTTATAGCAGGAAATAATGAAGGCATGATCCGAAGGCCAGTTAAATAATGCTCTTTGTGTAATAGACATCAGTGATAATTAGATAAGAAGAGACAAAAAAAAGGAAATCTTTTCAGTTCACTTTTGCAGTCTTTCGTTAGTGTCTGCAGTATGTAATGACTTCATTATATTATCTACGAATTGTTGAAACATTTCCACCAGGTCAAGAACTTTGCATACTAATCATATCTTAGAGGTTTTGTTTAATTTCCCAGATTACATTCTGCCTCAAAACCTGGCACCTATGTATTCACCATAGGATTTGAGGATGTGTATCTTATAGGAACAGACCGAGGATGGTGACTGTAGCTTTTGTAGACAATGTCACACCCCACAGGAGACAGACTCTGGTACAAAGAACTACAATAAAACAATATTACTGTCCCTGTATAACACAACACCATTTGGTGTTGTAAAACCCCTTTGCCAATCCATACTTCCCCTCTTCTAAACACCAACTGTTCCCTGCTGTATGTGTACATAGTTAGATTTTTTAATTTATTTTACATTAACAAGGAGGCTTATAGCTTTTGGAAACTGTCAGCAGCATTGGGTACCAGAAGATGTCTGAGGGAATCCTAGGGCAGGATTCATGTTGCTAAAAGCAGATTTTTTACTTCTTCCAGTTACTGAGACTCCCTTACTGGTGACTGATGAAGAGCCTAATTGTTATTATCATACAAAACAGTTTCTGAGACATTTTTCATCATCCTAACACCACATTACATTTGCATTACGGCTGTGATGTTTGTTTCATAGCAGACATATTGTGCTCTAAATATCAAACCACAATGAAAATTAAAAACACTTAAACATGCTGTAGTAATAAATACTGACCAGTTGTATCCAGTGTAGTGACCAGTGCCCAGACAACCTTTCTTTTATGGCTTATCTTTGTTTGGAGAGCTATGGATACTACCGCTCTGATTTAGTGCAAAAAGTAAGCACTTGCATAACATGAGGATCCCATATATTCCCGTTCAGAGAAGACTTTTACTGCCACACAGAGTTTATAAAAGTTCAGTGCCTTTCTGAGTGTGATGTGTTGCAATTCATTTTCATTTTTACATCTAGACTGTTTACAGCTGTATTGTGAAGTCAGCATAATCGCTGACTTTAAGGTGCTCGTTTGGGATTTATCCCACTGTAACTTGATGGAAAACCTAGACCCTTGCATTTGTAGGTCAACAGATGTGTGCTTCACCTCTGCTGCTCCTCTGAGTGAGTACAGGAATGTTTTGCAGAGGCTGTCAGATTATTTTGCAAGCACATGTCAGATCCCTGTGATGTATTCAGAATCAGAACTGCAGAAAACCTTTTTTAATCTTTTCATGCACTTGGAATTATAGTTTGAAAAGCTAGTTGAGTAACCAGACTGCACTTTTAGAAATGCTTGGGTCTTTTGTTGCTGTTCGTAATGATTAAACTTAGAATTGCAAAGGAATAGTTATCTGGGCATTTGGTGCAGACTGACAAACAAAGACTATAGATACACGGTAAATGGTGATAATATTAACATGATGTTTTCTTTCAATAATTGCTTGTGAGGTAAGATGCTTTTTTGTGTCCAAAATAATTTTCTTTACGGGACTTTCCTCCAGATCACAGATCTCCTGTTAATTGTGGGGGGTAATTTTTAATTCCAATACAGTATTTATTCCAAAAGAATAATTTCATCAAAGAAAATTAAAGTGGAATGAAGGTGGAAAAAATTAATGTGCATTTTTTTAATAAGCTAAAAAATGAGACATCAACTATGCTCTGTGGATCAAAAGTGCCGGTTCAATACAAATGGCAAAGTCCATTGCTTGCTTACTGACCGTTGTAAATAAAACAGTTTTGCAGCAACATCACTGGGTAATAAAATTCCCAAATAACTTTAATCTGTATAGGAGCTGGATTTTGAAGCTAAGACAAGCTATACCCTGAGGATAGAAGCAGCCAATATGCATGTTGACCCTCGCTTCTTGAGTCTGGGACCCTTCAGTGACATGACAACAGTGAAGATAATCGTGGAGGATGTTGATGAACCGCCTGTGTTTACTTCACGTTTGTACTCCATGGTGGTGTCTGAAGCAGCAAAGGTCGGCACCATCATTGGAACTGTAGCAGCCCATGATCCAGATGCCTCAAACAGTCCTGTCAGGTAATTTTAAGACAACTTAATTGTGTGTTTATTTAGCCTTTGTACTGAAGTTGTTCATTTTGTTGTGGGAGGGTCTTTGGTTACACTGAAAGCAATCAGTTCACTTTTTTGCCTTGCAGAGGGAGACTGAAATGTCCTAAGAGTTTGCCTATTTTGACTTTTATACTCCCGAACTACAGAACCTTTGAAAAAGTAACGTATTTAAATCTCTGTAAAACAAAGAAGAGAAAAGAAGTTATAATTTCAGGATTCCAAAGAAAAAAAACCCTCAACATATTATTCATATTTATTTCTCCCTAAATTTAGGAAGAGTCTATTTTTTTCTCTTAAATGAACCAGGACCCAAAAAAAAAATATTTTATATATATATGTTTGTGTGTGTGTGTCTGTGTATAATGATTCATCTTCTGTGTGCACTATGCACAAGAATGTAATAGCACATAGACTCTTGAATGGTCCCACAGTAACATTAGAAAAAACTCTTTATGTGAGAGAAATGGATAGGACAAGACACATCCTGTCCTAGTCAGGATGGTTAAAGGCAACACTCTTTTGTCTTTTGTAAATTCTGTTGCCCCCAAATACCTTCCATTCGATTGGGAACACTAGAGACACATAAAAACTGTCAAGGGCCTCTTCCTTTGCCTTCAGGGCATGAAGGACCTGCAAGTCTTCCACAATTTAATGTCCAGGTTCATAAAGAAAACACAAAGTATCAATCATACGTTTGCCTATATCTAAGGTCAAAGCTCAAGGACAAAGACTCACCAC